CTCCCTTTCTCTCTCTCTCACTCTGCCTATCAAATAATTCTTTAAAATCAATGTGTCTTTACCCAATGGGTCACCATAAAATAGCTAAAGACATGGGCTCTTGGTAAAGGAAGTGATAGAAACTCTCTATGAAATAAGCTCTACCAATGAGTTGCGACTAGAGAGGTGTAACCTGACATTTCTTACACCACATTCCAGACGGAGCCCCTCCCAGAGTCCTGATGAGCCGGATGCTTGCACAACAGCCTTACGCAGGTCCCCCGGGACCCTGAGCCCTCCTGGAAGCAGGCAAGGGTTGCCACGGTATAGAGATCCCCTGCGTGGAGATCCCAGGAGTGAACACAGGAGTTGTCCACGGCCTCATGGTCTAGGGTTTTGTTACCTGCAGTTCAAAAACATTAAATGGAAAATTGTCTAGAGGGAAGCGAGGTGTGGGATTTAAATGCAGCACCGTTCAGAGCAGTGGGGTGAGCTCTCTTGCTGCCCAAATGCACCTCATCCAGGGCATGAACCAGCCTCTTGTTCAGAGTATCCACACTGCATACGCTACCCCTTTGTTAATGACTGAGTAACTGTCTCTGTTATCAGAGCTCCTGTGTTCAAGTAACCCGAATTACATTGTTAGTGATCGTTACTCTCTTATTTTGCCTAATGTACAGATTAGACTTTATTGTAGCTATGGCTGTTAAGGGAAAAACAACCCTTGTATGTATGGAACTCAATACTATCTGTGGTTTCAGGCATTCAGATAAGGTTCTTGGCACGTGTTGTCCAAGGACAAGGGGGAACTACTTATACAGTAGAAAGGAAGGCGATAGAGCTTCGGTGGAGACCCCTAAATCTCAGAGGCGTGCCTCGCCCAAAGTAGCCCAGCTTGCTTTTATTTGTTAATTAGGCACCAGTCTTGGGCCCAGAGGTTCACTCGCCTGCATCTCAGATCTGCATGCCTGGGCTTGAATCCTGGCTTTCGCTATGGATTCCAGCTCCCCACTAATGCAGAATCGGGTGTGGGGGGCATGAGTGATGGCTCAAGTAATTGAGCCTCTTCCCCAACTCAGGGCCAATGCAGGCATTTAGGGAATGAACCAGTGGATTCCCATACATACTCTCTCTCTCTCTCCCCCCCCTCCCCCAAATAAGAACAAGTAAGTAAAGCTGTTAACTTATCCTATTTGCACTTGGTCCATTTCTGGAAACTTTGTTGTGAGATTTAATGCTTCAATGAGAAGCATTAAAACCTCAGTTCTGTTTTTATGATTTTATGGAAGAAACTTGTTTTATTTTTTTTCCCGCAATTGTACCTCTAAAAGGATGATGGAAGTGCATGGAAGAGAGATTTTTTTGCCATAAAATATGTGCTTTGCTCCAGCTTTTCAGAACTATTTCTGACACACAAAGCAAGGTCAAACCAGGCCCGCGAAGCCGCGATGAATCACGACCCATCCGAGCAGTGAGGACGCACATACAACCGAATGCCCTGGATGAAGCAGCCTGAGCCTGACCAGGGAATACATGGCCACAGCTGCACCAGCTGCACTTGGGGCTGGCACAGAGTTCCTTTGCCATATGGTCACCCTTCTTCTCGTCCTTCCAACGAGGCCAGCAAGCACGAGAGAGAGAGAACCGCGTGCTTGGAACCAGCCTGCAGGGTGTGTCTGCACCTCTGACCGTGACCTTGGTCCCTTCCTCCCTCCAGGAAGCTTTGTGCCCCTTTCCTCTGGCCACTCTCCCTTGCTCCAGTGCTTTTCATAGTCTACCCAAGGGTACCATAAGCCCACCGCTCAGACGGCCTGATGCCGGGAATAAGCCTGCTTTTCAGAGTGGGGAAGTAGATGCAGATAAGGCCAAGAAGAAATCTTCCTGCACCTTGAGCCAGGGCAGGATCCACGTGCTGATCTAGGACAGAGCTCAGGAATTTAAGGCAGAAAAGAACCTTCAAGATTATTGAATGCTTATCAAATACAATCATTTTATAGAATATTCAATGTAATTTAGTTTAACTTTTTTTTTTTTTTAATTTGAGAGAGAGAATGAGAGAGCACTCCCACCCACTGGCTCACTCCCCAGTGCTGGACCAGGCTGAAGCCAGGAGCTGGGAACTGCCTCTGGGTCTGGCTCATGGGTGACAGGGACTCAGCTGCTCCAGTCATCAGCTGCTGCCTCCCCGGATGCTATGAGCAGGAAGCTGGAACTGGAAGCTGAGCTGGGACTTCAACAAGGCGCTCGGATACGGACCATGGACATCCCAAGCAGCAGCTTAACGGCTGGGCCGAACTGCCTGTCCGTTGATCCAAAACGTCTTCCCCCAGGGCCTTTACCGCACAAGAAAGTACGAGGTCAGTGGAGCTGGTGCACAATCCTGACGCAGCTTGCGGAAGCTGAGCTGAATGGCGGAGACAGTGAAGAGCAATCATGACGAATGATGCCTGGATGCAGGGTAGCTTGCCCCACGTTTTCACACACTGGATGTCCACAGACTCTCTGAGTCTATCAAGCCTGGTGTTATCATTCCCACTCGGCACAGGAGGAAACAGAGGCAGAGGCCAGCAATTCAGTCTCCTGAACCAGTGTGCTGCAGCTGGTTTATATCATGTCTCGCTCTCTTTCTGTAAGCCCTGCTTTATTTAAAACCCCCCTTCCTCCAGGAAGCCTGACCTGGTTAATCCCAGGTCAATGGAAACTTATTTTTTTTTTCTGACAGGCAGAGTGGACAGTGAGAGAGAGAGAGAGAAAGGTCTTCCTTTTGCCGTTGGTTCACCCTCCAATGGCCGCTGCGGCTGGCGCACAGTGCTGATCCGAAGCCAGGAGCCACATGCAGGTCTCCCATGCAGGTGCAGGGCCCAAGAACTTGGGCCATCCTCCACTGCACTCCCAGCCCACAGTAGAGAGCTGGCCTGGAAGAGGAGCAACCAGGACAGAATCTGGCACCCCGACCGGGACTAGAACCCGGGGTGCCAGCGCCGCAGGTGGAGGATTAGCCTAGTGAGCCACGGCGCTGGCCAATGGAAACTTTTTAAAAACAAAGGAACACTTTCATCAATGAGGTTTTCTGTAGGAACACACTACATGGAATGGACTCAAAAGAAGCTGTTATGCCCACCTATCTACTCTGCACCATAAAAGTACGACCCTGGGGCCTGTGCTGTGGCATAGCGGGTAAGGCCACCGCCTGCAGTGCCGGCACCCCATATGGGTGCTGGTTCGAGTCCTGGTTGCTCCACTTCTGATCCAGCTCTGTTATGGCCTGGGAAAGTGGTAGAAGATGGCCCAAGTCCTCGGGCCCCTGCACCCACCTGGGAAACCCAGAAGAAGCTCCTGTATCCTGGCTTCGGATCAGCGCAGCTCCGGCCATTGCAGCCAACTGGGGAGTGAACCGGCGGATGCAAGACCTCTCTCTCTCTCTCTCTCTCTCTCTCTCTCTGCCTCTCGTTCTCTCTCTGTGTTACTCTGACTTTAAATAAATAAATAAATCTTTTTTTTTTATTTTAAGATTCATTTTTATTTATTTTAATGACAGAGTTACAGAGAGAGGTAGAAATAGAGAGGTCTTCCATCTGCTGGTTCACTCCCCAGATGGCCGCAATGGCCGGAGCTGCATCGATCCGAAGCCAGGAGCCAGGAGCTTCTTCTGGGTCTCCCATGAGGGTACAGGGGCCCAAGGACTTGGGCCATCTTCTACTCCTTTCCCAGGCCATAGCAGAGACCTGGATCGGAAGTGAAGCAACCAGGACCAGAACCGGCGCCCACATGGGATGTCGGCGCTCCAGGCCAGGGCTTTAACCCCCTGCACTACAGCACCGGCCCCAATATATAAATCTTTAAAAAAATACAACCTGTCCTTTAAAAATATAAAAATTCAAGTATTCTTAGAAATGCATATTATGGCCAGCGCCTCGGCTCACTAGGCTAATCCTCCGCCTTGCGGCGCCAGCACACCGGGTTCTAGTCCCGGTCGGGGTGCCAGATTCTGTCCCAGTTGCCCCTCTTCCAGCCCAGCTCTCTGCTGTGGCCCGGGAGTGCAGTGGAGGATGGCCCAAGTGCTTGGGCCCTGCACCCCATGGGAGACCAGGAAAAGCACCTGGCTCCTGCCTTCGGATCAGCACAGTGCTCCGGCCGCAGCGGCCATTGGAGGGTGAACCAATGGCAAAGGAAGACCTTTCTCTCTGTCTCTCTCTCTCACTGTCCACTCTGCCTGTCAAAAAGAAAAAGAAAAAAAGAAATGCATATTATGAAAAAGTTGTACATGAATTTCAAAAGATTTGGGGATCAAATGACCTTTGCATTCTACTTCCCATACTCTGATTCTGTGTATGTGTAACATTTAGAGGTGGCAACCTCCTGGGGGCAGAAAGGAGACTCTGGTGGCCTGTGGCTTAGGGAGATACAAGTGATAGAAGATAAGGACTAAGCCAGACAGGACTTATTTTAGAAGTGATGAAAATGGCAGGCATTTGGCATAGCAATTAAGATGCTCCCACCCCGAATCAGAGGGCCTGGGTTTCAGTCCCGTCCCCACGCCTGACTCCCGCTTCCTGTTAATGTGCACACAGGGAGGCAGCAGGTGATGGCTCAAGTGCCTGGGTTCCTGCCACTCAAGTGGGAGACCTGGATTGAGTTCATGGCTCCTGGGTTTGGCCTGGCATAGCCCTGGGTATTGCAAGCACTTGGGGAGTGAATCAATGGATGGGTGAGCATGCTCTCTCTCTCTCTCTCTGGACCCCCCCAACACACACCCATCTGTAAAATAATTAAATTAAAAAAGCAGGTGTTCCAATTTCCACATCGGCCAGAACTCCTTCGGTTGTGACCCCAAACCCAACTGTGCAACCCCCAGAACTCTGCAGATCGTCGCGGCAAACCCCTGATCTAATCCAAGTTTCCTCCTCCGATGGAAACCGAGACACGACCCCCCCAGTCTCTTGACTCCAAGTGCAAGGTCCCTTATCCATCCGGCACCCTCTGCCTTCCGCCAGTGACACGGGGCTCACCCCAGGCCTTACCGTCCATGTCCAAACGTTGCATGATGATGGCCAGCTCCACCTCACTCGGCATGTACCCCAAAGAGCGCATGGCCATGCCCAGCTCCTGCTTGGAAATGAAGCCATTTCCATCTCGGTCCAGCACCCGGAAGGCCTCTCGGATTTCTACAAGGGAAAGCAAAGAAAGTGCAATGGTTACGTGGCTGGCACAGATCCGACTCATGGCTGTTACTGCTGACTCCTCACCACTTTCCAACTGTATGGTAAAACCCTTCCAACAGGGGGCAGCAGATGGGTGCAGTGGTGAGCACACCACTTGGGATGCCTGCATTCCCCATGGGAATGCCTGGGTGTCGGTTCTAGCTCTGCTCCTGATTCCAGCTTCCTGGAATTTCCAGTTCAAGTCCCAGCTCCTCCACTTCCAGTTCCAGCTTCCTGCTGAGGTGCACCCTGGGAGGCAGCAGGTGGTGACTCGAGTCCTTGGGTCCCTGTCAACCAAGTAGGAGACAAAGATTGAATTCAAGACCCCTGGCTTTGGCCTAGCTCAGCCTTGACGGTTGCAGTCATTTGAGGGGAGTGAACAGTCCCCAGAAATGGACAGAAGTGCATTCTCTCTCTCTCTCTCTCCCTTCCAAATAAATAAAAATTAGGGAAAAAATCTTTTTTTAAAGATTTATTTTGGCTGGCACAGTGGCTCACTAGGCTAATCCTCAGCCTACGGCACCGGCACCCCAGGTTCTAGTCCCCGTCGGGGCGCTGGATTCTGTCCCGGTTGCTCCTCTTCCAGTCCAGCTCTCTGCTGTGGCCCGGGAGTGCAGTGGAGGATGGCCCAAGTCCTTGGGTCCTGCACCCCATGGGAGACCAGGAGAAGCACCTGGCTCCTGGCTTCGGATCAGCGTGGTGCGCCGGCCGCAGCAGCAATTGGAGAATGAACCAACAGTAAAGGAAGACCTTTCTCTCTCTCTCTCTCACTGTCCACTCTGCCTGGCAAAAAAAAAAAAAAAAAGATATATTTTATTTATTTGAAAGAGTTACAGAGAGAGGTAGAGACAGAGACAGAGAGGTTCTCCATCCGCTGGTTCACTCCTCAAATGGCTGCAACAGCTGGGGCTGGGCCAATCTGAAGCCAGGAGCCAGGAGCTTCTTCCGGGTCTCCCATGTGAGTGCAGGGGCCCAAGGACTTGGGCCATCTTCTGCTGCTTTCCCAGGCCATAGCAGAGAGCTGGATCAGAAATGGAGCAGCCACAACTTGACCCAGTGCCCATATAGGATGCTGGCAATGCAGCACTACGCCACTATGCCACAGTGCCAGCACCCCCCCCAATCTTTAATTAGATGAAATGCCAGGAAAGGAACAAACAAAAAGACAACAAAATTTTAAAATAAGGAATGCAGGGGAGAGAGGAAAAAAAATAAAAGGCAAAGACGATGCCTGGCCCTGGGTGCCCTCAGCCAGTATAGCAGGCACACAGGTGGACGTGGCCTCAACACGGACTCCTGTTGGCCAAGGTCACTTCCCGGAAAGTTTCAACTGCTGAGCTAGGCTGACCTGGCCTTCGCTGCTGCCCTCAGGAGGCAGGGGACCGAGACTCCCCTTGCAGATGGATTGCACAGCCCTGCTGTGATGGGAACTGTGCAGAAAGCCTTCTCTACTCATCGGAGGACAGGAGTTAAGCACCCTGCTGTTTTTATTTCATTCCTCTAATTTACAGTGGTTTTACGGCTATAAACAACCTCCGATCAATAACAGTGCCATGGAAGCTCAAAAGACATCTTTAATCACTTTCTCCCGGGTCTGCAGAGACCTTGATGCTGCTATCAATACGGCCTGTTTCACTGGGCAAGCGATCTTCCCTCCTCTCGCCACCTTCCCCGCCCAGGCTGGGGCTGCTCTGAGTGCCGAGAGCATCCCTCCAGAACCCCTGCGGCTGTTCCTCCTGGGCTGGCTGCATTAGTCCCCACACATCATAGCCCTGCGAGGCACAGCACTGGGAAGCCGAGATCCCACTGGGAAGAATGGCAGGTTTTTCCATCATAGCTGAGCACCCCACACCTGCAACAGCTTGGTGCTTTCATTAATAAATCCATCAATAAGCCCAAGGCAGGCTCAGGTACGGCAGCTGCCAACAGTCACCCAAGAGTCACTCCACACTGCTGACTGATCACGCAAGGAGTACTGTGCTCTGAGCACATCCTATTGAAAGATTAAATGTGATGGGGCCGGCGCTGTGGCGTAGCAGGTAAAGCTGCCGCCTGCCATGCCAGCACCCCATATGGGTGCCGGTTCAAGTCCCCACTGCTCCACTTCCAATCCAGATCTCTGCTATGACCTGGGAAAGCAGTGGAAGATGGCCCAAGTCCTTGGGCCCCTGCACCCACATGGGAAACCTGGAAGAAGCTCCTAGCCCCTGGTTTTGTGCTGGCACAATTCCAGCCATTTTAGACAACTGGGGAGTGAACCAGCAGATAGAAGACCTCTCTCTGTCTCTCCTTCTCTCTCTGTGTTAACTCTTTCAAGTAAATAAATAAATCTTAAAGAAAGAAAGAAAGATTAAATGTGCTCCACCAGGCATTAGAGCTCTGCTCCTTGGCCCTATAATTAAAAAAAAATCACTGTTATTTATTTGAATGGCATAGTGACAGAGACAAGGAAAGACAGAAAGAGAACGAGATCTCGCAGCCACTGGTTCGCTCTCCAAATGGCTGCAATCAGCCGGCACTGGACTAGGACGAAGCCAGAAGCCAAAAACTCCATCCAGCTCACCCATGTGGGTGGCGTGGGCCACTGTCTGCTCCTTTCCCCAGACACATTATCAGGGAGCTGGACCGGAAGCAGAGCAGCCGGCATTGAACAAACGTCCAACACAGGTGCCAGCATTGCAAGCAGAGGCTTAACCCACTGCAACACAACACAGGCACCTTAGCCCCGTGCTTCAATCGGAACAGAAACTTCCGGTTGCTCCCCAAACGCAAACAGGACACTTGGCCCTGGCCCATTTATTTACCAGCTCTCCAAATATCTGACTGGGCTCCTGGAAATAATCTGGAATTTCACACCCTTGTCTCGGCAACGCTGTTTCTCCTTTGTACTAGTTTCTTGTGTTGGCTGTCACAAATCACCACGTTGATGGTGACATAAGCAGTCTGGAGGCTGGACAGGTGACATCGACATCACTAAACCCCAGTCAAGAGGTCAGCAGAGCTGTGCTCCCTCTGGGGGCTCCCAGGGAACCCATGCTTTTCCTCCTCCTGCCACAGGTGGCTGCCAGCACCCCTTGGCTTGTGGCCACATCACTCCAAGCTCTGCCTTCTCCTCTTCTGCCTACAAGGACACTGTGTTTGCATGGAGGGGCCACTCAGAAAATCCAGAACAACCACCTTCCCAAGATCCCTCATGCAGTCACATCTTCTAAGGCATCTATAGATTAGGATTTGAGATCATCAGGGGTGGTTTTTCTGATTGCTAGCCTACGTGGCACAGTACTTCTGCCTCAAACACTGTCCCTTCTTCTTTCCCTGCCAAAATCACACAGGTCTTTCAAGGCCAGATTGGGGGCCTGTATTCCACAAGAATGTCTTTGCTCACCGCAGCCAAATTCCCTCCTCTCCTGCTGACCATTCGGCGGTGGCAGATTTGTGCCTTCCACGAGAATACCATGACTGGTGTAGAAATTCCGGCTTCTTCTCTAAGCTCTGAGCTCCTCACACACCTGTACCCCCCACCCCCACTCTACAGGAGCCGAGGCATGGATAGCTGTTCAACGGACGATGAGTCTGATAGGGGTCATAGATCAGTAGAAAATTCATTATCAATACTAATTCCTCACGCCCAGTGTTTTCTGTGAGCACATATGAGCTCCAGCAGAGAGAAAGCCAGCCACCGAGCTGGGACCCCAGGCTCCCGGCCAGGCGTAATAGCTAATTAGGGCTGCAGCCAAGCCCGGAGGCCTCAGTTTGCTCAAGTGTAAAATGAGCCGGGTTGGCTCTGAGGCTCCCCGAGGCCCTCCCAGCCTCCTTTCCGTGGGTCTGCGGACATTGTAAAGTGCTTAAGAGAAGTACAGGAAGCCTTGTTCTCTTACACACCCTATTAATCCACTTTCTTTCCATGCACTGTAGAATAGAAACAAATTTCAGTCCAGGCCAAATTCTGAAGCAAAGGGGTTGTCTGTCTCTCTAGTCTTTTCCCATCAGTGAAACACTATGTGATTACCTAAAGCAGTCACAGGTTTACCCATCAAGTGTCAAGTGGCTGAGAGCCACTGCTTGGCCAGAGGTCATGGCCTGCAATGCTCAAGGACACTGGAGTGGTGAACTTGGCCTTGTGCAGCCTGGGGCCCCATTTCCAGATGCTGTGAATGGGAGAATGCAGAGGCAGGGTCTCCTGCAGTCTGAGTTAGCCCACAAGGCAGCCAGCCCCAGCTCTGCCCCTGCAACCTGGGCCGGGCGTACCCACCTCCACCTCAATCTCCTCATCTGAAAAATGGGTTAGGTTGGATCTCTTCCCAGCCTGTATCATTAGGACAGGTGTGCAGCTGCAGCCATGGATGGCCACCTGCAGGCGGAGCCCTGCCCCTGGTTCCCTGGACCACACGTACCTGAGGCTTCACCTTCAAATCTCACAGCTCTGAGTCAATCCTGAGCCCTATGTGCTGGTGCTATGACCTGATGGAGCAGTGCCCCTCTGTAGAGAGGGCCAGGGTCCTGTGGCCTCCTTGCATGCCCTAGATCCTGCCAGTGACCTTCAGCCTGGCTCTTCACACTGGACACCCCGGACAGGCCTGGCTGGGAGCACTTGCAATCTTGGCCTGAAAGTGAGGGTTTTGGCTACTGTGCCTTCTCATCCCTTCTTGGCTCCCTGGGTAACCACCAGAACGGCCTCACCCTTGCACTTGCAGATTTGGGCAACCAAAGATGGACAGGTCACTCCAAACTGCCTGTGGTCAAAGGCCTTGCTCTAACCAGGCCTTGAATGGCCGTAGTTTGTTCCATCTGCAGAATGCAACTGGTTGGCCCTCTGCCCTATCAGTGAGTTTTGTGCTCACTGGGTCCCACAAGTACATAGACCAAAAGCGACCCTTCTCTGTTTGCATAGAATATCTACTCATGGCTCCTAGTAGAGAACCTGTGTGTGTGTGTCTGTGTGTGCAGACAAAGCTCACTACACT